GCCGCCGCCGCCTCGGTCGCCGCCGCCCGCGCCGCCCGCGCCCTCCGCGCACAGCTGAGCCCGCGCCGGCTCCTTCCCATGCGGGCGGCGCGGGCCCTGGGAGGGGCGCCCGGAGCCAGCCGCGCAGCATGCACTGGGGGGTTGGCTTTGCCTCGTCCAGGCCGGGCGTGGTGGATCTGAGCAGGAACCAGAGCGTGTCTTTCTTCGGCTGGTGGGCCGGGTCCGAGGAGCCCTTCTCCTTTTATGGGGACATCATCGCTTTCCCTTTGCAGGATTACGGTGGGATCATGGCAGGGCTGGGCTCCGATCCCTGGTGGAAGAAAACCCTTTACTTGACCGGGGGCGCTTTGCTGGCCGCAGCTGCGTATCTGCTCCACGAACTCCTGGTCATTAGGTGAGCCGGAGAGAGGGCCCCGCGCAGGGGCGCCTAGAGGGGCACCTGGCCAGGGGCGCCCAGAGGGGCACCGCGAGGGGGGACCCGTGGCAGCCCCTCGGTCACGCCGCCCCAAAGCCCAGGCGTTCTGCCCTTGCCTTTTCTCAAAGGCATTCCATGGTCACCTGGCCGTGAGGGGCAGTTGAGAGTTCAGGAGAATTAAACTGGTACTGGGAGGGAAGAACATTTGTCTCCCAACGGTTCGATGTTAAAAGCAAAAATGTTCTGGGTCATTAGTATTTATTGAGCAAAATAGTCCATTATGAAATGTGCTTAGGAAGATCCCGAGAGCAGTGAGTTTGCCACAATAGAATTAGGCCCTAACTAACAGTTTTATGAAATGCCTTATTTGTGTATAGGTAGTAATGTTGGAATATTAACTACTAACCTCATCTTTTACTTAAAAGGTTAGTTCTCCACTATTTCTCTCTAAATGTCAGCATCATCAAGAGGCTGAAATTGCAAAAGCTCCAGAACCTGCGGGCCCCTGTTAAAAAGATGCATGGCCGAGTGTGTGCAGTGGTGTGCAGTTTTGATGCAGCCTTAAGCTGGTTATCTGGTGTTGAACGCTAAGCAGCATCTGCAGGCTTAAATGTCATTGTTGTGAGAGCAGTAGGAGATCCGAGGGCAGGACTAGCACATGGGCGTGTTTGACACAACACGGAGTCGTCCAGTGCCATAAACAGTTGCATCCGCTGCCGCAGAATGTTTACAGGATTGGCTTGGAAATACCAGAAAATGGAGGCCCCTGTTGTTAGTACATCCAGCCGGACACGAGATCTTTATTTGAGTAGGGTAATACCACAGAGTACTTAGATGGTCGTTTGGCTAATTGATACATCAATATATGGTTAAAATTTCCACGCGTTTGAGTCCTCAGTCACTGGAAGATTACCAGAAGCCGAGCAGTTTTCAATAGCTTAGAATGTCCCTCTTGGCCAGTATATTTTGTAAAGAGGAAGAAATGTGTCCACACTGCCTTTTCCCGGTGGAGGAATCCTACACTATAGGTTATAAACAAAGACCGTGATAGGTGACCTTTAACGGGTCTTCAGGGATTCCAGCAGGACACTGTGACAGGTATTTCGAATGTTTCCCTTCTGAGAGGGTGGGAAATCATTTAGGTCTGCGTAAATATACTGGCTTTCATATTATTTAGCCAAAGTTAAGAAGTTTATTTTAAGCTTGTTATACATTTAATTCTCTCACTTAGTACAGTGCCTTGAGTCTAGTTGAACCAAATAAGAAATTTTAAAGCGAGTTCTCTCTAGATCATTTGATATTTGTGCTAGTTTTCAAACTCTATTTCGAGTTAGGTTTTAAGCCAAATAAAGAGCTAAAACATTTATGCAGCAATTTAAATGGTAACCCAGTTGTTTCTCAATTATATTCCAGTCCAAAGCCTTTGAGGATCCAAACCATGTGGCTTCTGAGCCATTTTCCACTTTTGGGGGAAGTAAAGGTTTTACAGGCCAGAGTCTAAAAAATTGCTTAAATGACCTTGCAGAACTAGTCGGAGCTCAGCACTCACCTGGCAAGTGTGGTCACTGGACACTGACCTCAGATAGCTCCTTGGCCTTTTAGGGGACTACAAGCCTCAGCATTGGATACTTATTTGGATTAAGGAGTTTTGAATCCTTAGTTTATTCACTTTTTTTTTCTTGACAAATGTTTAAGTTAAACTGGAAACTGTTATAATGCAAGCAGTACAAAAGGGCTGCCCATTTCTCACATTTGGTAGGGACTCTGCCTGTACGTGCTTTGCATGCCACAACTGTTGTTTGATGCTTGATCCTCATTTCCTAGACAAGGAAATTGCAGCTGAGGGAGGTTAAGCAATTTGCCTAAAATCACACATAAAGAGTAGTAGGATCCAGATTCAAATCTGGAAATGTGTGTTTGAGGAGTCTGCACTTTTTACCACTGCATCGTAGAAAGTATCCATTCTGAAATAAGTTTTATTGGGGGAGGAGGAAGAGAAATATGAGCTGGGGCATTGCTCAGGGAAGGCAGGCCTGTGGCAGGATCCTGACTTTTGACAGCCTCTAGAGGCGAGGGGATGGCGGAAAAAATGAGGAGAGTTGAGTACGAGGCTTTGGGAGTTACATTTAAGGTGTAAGAGACCTCCATTTAAGGTGAAATCTAAGCTTCAATTGTGTAGTTTAGGCAAAAACCAAAACCTGAAATATGTGCGATGGAAAATACACCTTGAAGTGATTACACTGAGCTCACTGGTGATTGCAAAGTCTTTACCACCCTACTTGGGTTTTCTGCTGCATAGACTTGATCTATGGCTGTGTCTTCCAGAGTGGAAAGTATAGTAACAGATAAGACTTATTTAAAAAGTTTAATTAATGAGTAGAACCAAAGTAGGTATTTTGGGTTTTACCCCTTTTTTTTTTTTTCCTACCACCGTATTTTTAAACAAATATTGTCCCAACACTCTTCTTTATTTTCCCTGAGTGGAGATAGCCTGGTAGCTATCTTAAATTCAATCAGGCATTTGGAAATTAGTTGTTTGTAAATTGAATGTCTAAGTAATAACTTTATTACCAGTAGCTCATTTGCACTTTTGGCAAACAGGCTCAGCCTGTCTTAGAAAACTTAGTGAGTCAGATCAGCCGATGGGTCAACATCTGATCTCCACAAACTAACAACTCATCAGCCCTATACAGAGGCATGGTCATCTGTGACTTCCGTAGCCACAGAAGCAGGAGGGAGTCTACTGCTACACTAGCTAGTTGATGCTCGACAGGCATTTTCTTATGCAACTCTCATTGTAAGGCCACTTTATAAAATATAGCTGTGTAGGAAACAGCTGATCCTCTGATTCTAAGTTAGAAAGAGGTTTCCGATGTGTGGAGGGAGGGCACTGGAGTCAGATTGTCTGGGTTCAAATTCAGACTCTGCTTTGTCTGAGTTATATTTAACCAACCTTGTAACCTCGGATATATAGTAAGCTCTCGATTACTCAGTTTTCTCATCTGTAAAATGGGGATGATAAAAGTAGCCTTCTCTTATAGTTGATTAAATGAGTTAACACATGTGAAATGCTCAGTATGGAGTTTGTCATACAGAGAGCATTCAATAAAAGTTAGTCATCACTAGCTATTATAAACTTTCATCAGAAAGTTCCAGGCTTGACTGGTCTGAGTCAAACTGGCTGTGTTAATAAAATTAACTGAGGTGTCTTTGAAGTGCTTAAGAGCTTGGGAACTAGAGTTATTACAGACTTGATCTTAAATTAATATTTCTTTGGGCAAGTTATTTAACCCTCTCTGAGCTTCAGTTTCCTTGTCTACTATAAACTGTAAGTTTAGTACAAGTGTACTTCAAAAAGTTCATGGAAAGATAGAATTAAAACATAATGCAAATCTTTCCATGAACTTTTTGAAGTAACCTTGTATGTTATCCTAAAATAAAATTGTGACAATTTCCACACTCTAGTGTTACTGTCAGAATTAAATAAGTTAATATGTATGGTGTGTATAAAGTCATTGGCATATGCTTGGCACATAATTAGCATCCATACTTACTGTGACGTGGCTCAAATTAACTATTAAAATTAGATTGTTCTGGCCAGTGGAGCAGGGGATTTGATTTTATTTCCTGTCTTTTCAGTTCTTAAATTTTTGCTTGGCTAATTTACATGAAAATATCACTTTGTGACATGAATTATTTGACTGGACAAAATCAGTAATTGTCAAATGTATAATTTGTGCCATCAAGGAACATAGTCCAAGTGAGTTCTGGATTTTAATATCTGACCTCCCAAACATTTCATCTAAGTGAAAACCTTTGCTTTATAGCAAATATTGCCAGAGAGCAGCAAGTATTTTTATTCTTTTGACTTGACTAGTATTTTCAAAATGAGTCATTGTGAGCTCTTTAAGTTGAGTGGGCCCTTGGGTGGTAAATTTCTTCTAGAGTTTGTTTTACTCAATGAGGATGCTCAAGTGAGTGAGCTCCATGCGATGATGATACAAAGAGCTTGTCCCAGCTTGGATAGAAGTAGGTGTGGGATTAAACTGGGAATGCTGTGAGGGAACCAGGGAAGGGCCGAGGGGAAGAGTGAAGTTTATCTGTCTGGGAAATGACTAGGTAGTTTATGCGACTGAAAGAATTGCAAAAGTTTCCTGGGGGTGGTATATAAATGGGGCCATGTGAAATGATGAGATTTTGCAGCTTAAAAGGATAAGACCATATCTGTTTGGATGAGAATAAATTCTACTACTGTTATTTAATGCTTGATAGCTCACTAAATATTTTACAGATATTACATTATTTAATTCTCATGATACTCAGTGCAGAATTGGTACTGAACTCACTTTCCAGGTAAGGGAGGTGGAGATATCTAGGTGAACATGGCCAGCAGGAAGCAGGGCTTGGACTTGACCCCAGGTGTCTGGACTTGGAATTCAGCATTCCTTCTCCTATGTGGTGGCTACTGAAAAACTGTACCCAGGAACGTCCTCCTCACCCAGAAAACTAGTCAAAGGAAAAGATGGATGTGTAGCTGAGACAGAAGAAAAGGGAAAAGCAGGGGTACTAAAACATATGCTGTGTGATCAGAGTGAAGACAGAGAATGAAAGAGAGAGAGCATGTGCCCAGAAGCCAGGCTCCTCGGCAATGCAGGTGAAAGGCCAGGTGAGAACGCAGGCAGTTCAGCATATTCAGAGTTTCAGATTCCCTGAAGACTTGGGTCATGACAGAGTAAACCTGCACTGTTATTCCTGGGTCTTATGGATAGATGAATAGACTGTTTCATGGTGTAGTCTAAGGGCCAGGCACATAGACTGTGACTACCTAGTTCTGTCCAGGTTTTGCTATTTGCCAGCAATGTGACTTTGCAAGTTAATCCTCTGTGCCTCATTTTCCTCATCTGTAAAATGTGGATAACAGTAGTACCCACCTCATAAGGTTGTTGTGAAGATTAAATGAGATAATACTCGTGAGATCCTCAGAACAATGTATGACACATAGTAAAGACAGAATATCATTTTTATCCATTCCACTTGTCCCTGGCAGGTAAACATAGCCAGCTGGAGAAGAAATGGACCTTTACCAGAAAATATTCTTCCTGTCCATAGGCTACAGGTAACAGAAGGAGGTTGATATGTAGTTATTTTTCTGAGCCATTGGGATCATGATAATATCAGAATTTGTAAGTTCTCCTGTGTTTTGACTAAACTTCCACTCTCTAAATGCTGGGTGAGGTAAGCCCCCTTGACCAGCAGATCTGCTTGTTCATTGATGAGCCACAGCCCAGCAGGGTCTTCTTAAGAGCTAAGGGAAATGAATGTAAAACATGTGGATTGTTTATTTCTGTTTTGGTTTTGACAGGAAACAGCAAGAGATTGATTCCAAAGATGCTATTATTTTGCATCAGTTTGCAAGACCTAACAATGGTGTCCCCAGTTTATCTCCTTTCTGTTTGAAAATGGAAACTTATTTAAGGATGGCTGACTTACCCTATCAGGTACTTATGTGCAAATATGTTTTATTCTCATGACATCAATATCAGTTGCGGGGAGAGTATTTAATTGTGTACAGTCATTGCCAGAGGAGGTGGGGTCTGAAAGTAGCAGTGTCCAGTACTTAATAAGAAGGAAAAATTTGATTCCAGGGTCTGTTGATTTTTATATCCAATTTAATGATGGATCAAAATGGTATAGACTTTTGAGGTATTCAAAGCCATGATCTTTTTCCCTGAAACAGTATGCTTTGTATAAGAGTCTAGATAGGCCTACTGGGTGGCTGTTGATGGGGTATGCCATTGCCTGATGTGTTTTATTGCCTGTAGGTTTTTATTTATTGACAGCATTATATTTTGTTTCTCATGAATCCTGGGGGAAAATGACCCAGCAGACCACCAGGTAGATATTTGTATATATTGTGAAAGCTTTTCCACAGTGCTCCAAGTTCTGTTTGACTTACTTTTGGGGAAATACATGCTCATTTCCACATTAGAGAATGAACAGAGAAATATATTTAAAGGTATCCGTTTCTCTCTGAGTAATGCTTAAGCTGTGTCTTATAAATTTGACATGTTGTGTTTCATTGTCATTCAGTGTTTTTTTTTTTGCCTCAGTTTTGAGAGGTAATAATTCTATGTATTTTAAAAAATTCTCCTTATGTTTTTCTTTTTAAACAAGTTTTAGCCATATGGAATTTGAAAAACAGTTTTATTTATTTCTTATTAATTATTAGCATATTCATTGTTACAAATCATACTTATTCTTTATGTCCCTTATCTAATTTTTCCCCTTCTCCCTCCCCTCCCTGTCCCTCCTCTAATAACTATAGATTTGTTCTCTCCATCTGATAGATTAACTGTTCCTCTGTTGGTTTGTTGCCTAGATGATCTGTCCAGTTCAGAGACTGGTGTGATCAAAGCCTCCCCTATTATTGTAAATCAGATGCTTCTTCTATTACTCTGGAGTATGCTTTGTGGAGAGAGAGGGCCTCTTCCTTTTTTTCTTTTTTTTTTTCCTTTCTTTTTCCTGGTCTCCACTGGTGCCTCTCCTTGTGTCAGTGAAGTTGAGAGTCTGGCGTGCCATCTGCATGGTGGCTGTGACTGCTGCTATAGAGACCACCCGCTTTTGTGGCAGCCATGGCAATTGCTTTGATTTTTGTTACTGTTTTTAATTTTATGGCCAGAGAAGATAGTCTTTGTGATATTGATTGTTTGGAATTTGCTGAGTCTTTAGTGTAGTGTGTGGCTACTTTTTAAAAATGTTGAAAATAATTACACATTTTCTGTTTTGATATAGAGCTCTCTATATACTTGCTTGAACATGTTTAATGTATTATTTAGACCTTCTGTATTTATGCTTATTTTTTTATCTGCCTGTATTAAGTTTCTGAAAAGAGTACATTAAGTATTCAAGTTGTTTGTTGATTTAATCTTCTTTTCCTGTTATTATGTCACTTCTTGCTTTATGTAAGATTGTTATTAGAAGTTATATTGTTAGGTACATATTATATAAAAGATCATATCTTTTACGCTTTCATTTCTTTTTCCAATATATAGCATCCATTGTTGTCCTTTATGATTTTTTTAAAAACTTGGATTCTATATTATCAGATATTGGGTTGGATTCTCCAGCTTTCTTTTGGTTCATATTTGCATGGGATATCTTTCGTCATCCTTATTCTCTTTTTGTGTGTTTGTTTCTCGTAGACAGTGTATTACTTATATCCAATTAGAGAATCCTTTAATTAATGAGTTTAATCCATTTACACTTATTCTAATGATTGTTTTATTAGGACTTCTTTCTTTTTTTTTTTTTTATAAAAATGACCAGTAAGGGGATCTTAACCCTTGGCTTGGTGTTGTCAGCACCACGCTTAGCCAGTGAGCTAACCGGCCATCCCTATATAGGATCTGAACCCGTGGCCTTGGTGTTATCAGCACCACACTCTCCCGAGTGAGCCACAAGCTGGCCCATATTAGGACTTATTTCTAACATTTTATTTAATATATTTTTTCTATATATTTTTTTTGGTGTCTGGCTAGTATGGGGATCTGAACCCTTGACATTGGTGTTAATCAGCACTGTGCTCTAACTGAGTGAGCTAACTGGCCAGCTCTCTTTTTACTCTTCTTTTTTTTTTTTTTTTTCTCATTTTCTGCTTTCTAATGGAGAGGTTAAATTTTTTTCTTGTCATTTAAAACATTCTATCTTTGTTATGGTGGTTGCTTTTAAGACCCAAATTTATTTTTATTCCTATTCATTTATTAAATGTATTAAAGTCTATATTTAGGCTGTAATCAAGAAATACATTAGCAGTTCACATGTACCCTTGGGTCTCTCCCTTTCTTCCCAGCTCGTATTTCAATTGTTCAATTCTGTTGTTGTTGTCTAACATTTTAATTCTGGAACTTGGACAGTATTTTTTCTTTTTCTTTTTTTGTCCTTTTTGGACAATGGATTTTACCAAGTTCTTTGACTAGCCTTATTTTACACACATCTTATCCTACAGGATTTGTCTTTTTGAGTACTTCCTTGATGAGTATTTTCTGAGTGAGCCTTCATGTGGCAAATCTTCAGTGGCTTTGCATGCCCAAGATTGTCTTTATTATACTCTCATGTTCAATAAGTCTATGTTCAAAGTTCTTTTCCATCAATGCTTTAAAAATATTACTCCATTGTTCTTTCTGTACTGGTGTTGCTATTGAAAAATTTGACATTAATCTCATTCCTCTTTTTCTTTCTCTCTAAATTCTTTCAGAATTTGCATTAATCTTAATATTCTTAAGTTTCACTATAATGTGCCTTGGGGGGGTCTTTATGTATCCTGTGTGGTCCTTTATAAACACTTCTAATCTGAGGTTTTTCATCTCTTTTTAATTCTGGGGAATTGATTATCAATTTTCTTGAAATATTTTCTTTTCTGTTTGTTTTCCCCCTCTTCTTTCCTGTTCCCTATTGTCTGGATACTGGAACCTCCGCTTCCTCTCCTTTTGTTTTCTGTATCTCTGCACTTTAACCTTTAATTCTTTTCTGCTTCTTTCTGGGAGCATTCCTCTCACTGAGCTTCCATTGCACTGCTCTGTTCTCTTCTTGTGTCCATTGTGCTATTTACCTCATCCATTGTGTTCTTTTTTTCAACTTTTGTATTTTTCTTCTTAGTTTTTCTGCTTAGTTTTTATTACTAATCTCTTTTTTATGCCTTGCAGGATATTTATTATGCTAATTAAAATTTTTTGCTCTGCCCAAGTTATTCTGCTTTGTGTCATGTATGTTCAGTGCATTGTCTTCTCATAGTAGTTATACTTCTCAGATGTCTAGTTGTTTTAGTATCAGGGCTCCTTCTACCAGGAATGCCAACTTCCCTGCCTGGGAAGGGCTAAAGCTCAGGCCACAGGTTGTGTGCCTCTGAGGGAATCTAAGAAGCAGAAAGGAGGTGAGCCCTAGGCATCCTTAAACCACTGTGGTTCTTTCAGTTTGCTGCCACTCCTCCAAATGGCTCCAGCTGGTCAGGGGTTTACCTTTAGGCTCTCACAGCAACGTTGGGAGGAAGTGCTCTCCTTAGGTTGTAACAGACCAGCTGGGAGGTTGGGGTGGGCTTTTCACCCAGCCAAGCTTTTGGTTGCCCCAATAATGATATTGCCCCTCCAGCTCCTGACTCCTCATAGCCTATGCTTTCTAAGTTAGTTTCTTTACAGAAGAGGGAGTGGGGCCAGCCATTATCCTCCGAAGGCAGTGCTGGGACAAGGTAACTGACAGACTTTTAGCTTGGTAAGCGCTGTGATGGAGGTCCTCTGGGAGGATAGTGGAGTGACACCCAATCTGAACATCAGGCGGGGGATCAGGGAAGGCATGGAATGTTTGGGGAACAGAACGGTAGTCTTTATAACTAGGAACTGGAATACAAGGGCCAAATCAGGAGAGCAAAGCAGGGAGAAGATTATGCAGGACTTGCTAAGCCAGCAATGGAGGAGAAAATAGCAATAAAAAGAGATAAGGCTTGAATCATCTAAATGCATTGGATCAGTTTGAAAGATCACTGTTCAGCTTGGTGTTGGCAGTCAGCTCTTGGAAGATGTGTGTCATTGAGGGACTCAAATTGAAGAGATTGCTACCGGGCAGCCACCTGTCTCTATTCCGTCATCACTCTTGACCAGATTGCCTCACTTAACCATGACAACTATGGGGCAATTAGGATCCAAAACCTGAACTTTGTGTGCTACTGTCTTTGGTTGCTTTTAAGATCTTTTGCACTCCTCTGTCCTTGATGAAGTAATCTGGCTGTTTGCAGTGACTGTGGCAGCTGTCAGACTGTTCTGTCCTTTCCTTTCTTTCCTTCAAGCCATCAAGCGCTGATTGCTACAGACCTGACTTTACCCACAGCCTTTGTTCATGTTTCATAGCAGCTGCTTTTAGTTAGTATAACTGACAAAGCAGGGCACACACCTCACTGTGAAGCCTGAAGCTCCTGCAGAGGTCTTTTAGAGGGGTGTGCTTACCCCTTCCAAAATGATTATTTTTTTATGAAGTATATTTCAAAAATAGGAATCGTGTAGTGGTGTTTTTTCTTCTGTGAGGTCTCGGTGGAAAATAAATGGAGGGGGTGTTCAGGGGAGACAGATCCTAGGTAAAAGAAAAATGGTTCTGTGATTTAGAAAGGGATGCTCTGTGCCTGCTGGGAGTGCCCTGATCACTGTGTGCTGTCAGGGAGGGTTTGTGTTGATGCAGCGGTGCCTGCAGAGTGCTGGGGAGCTCATTTCCTAGAATGGTCAGTAGAGAGGTGTTTTGTCAAAGATCCAGGGAGCTTCACCTCTGCCCGTTCTTTTCCTTGTACTGTTTTTAAAAGATTAAAATACCATGCTTCTAAGATCACGAGTTTACATTTGAAGCTTTTTGATTTTTTAACCTAAATGGGATAGGAGGCAGTGTGGAGGATGGATGGCCTCTGAGAATAACAAGGGTTCATAAGGGGATGTATTAGGAGGATATGGGTGGTATCAAGAGAAATCTGCAACAGGGGCTATGTTATGTGGTGAATTTATACCTTTACTGTGCAAACTACAAGAATGTCAGATGTACTAGCAACTTTTAGAGGTATGTGACATTTCTCCTGGTTAACTTCAGGGATAATGTCTAGGGCTACTATGTGGGGTTGTGCAGGTTGCTCATTGCTCAGCCATACATGATGGCTGCCAAGGAGTAAGGGTGGAATCTCGACTCATTTCTACTTGTGAACCTTGGCATGGACTGCATCCACCCAGAGCAGGCTTCATTTTCTAAACTGCATAAAGGCGATGTGGCTAACAGCAGCCCCAGTAGCAGCCCTGATAGTTAAAGTATTACCCTTTTCCAGCCTAGGCCCACTATCATTTTTAGAATAAGCAATGAGATAAAGTATCAAGACACCATGAGACAGAGAGCAAATTCACTGTTATTCTCTGCCAAAGACAGCAGTAAGCAATATATAGCTGTACCTGCTCTGTTTTTTAGCCTTCCAAAAAAGGTGATAATACTTCACAAGTCTGAGAAGCCAAGGACCCTAAAGCATAGTCCAAGCTGAGTCCTGTGGGCACAAATGAGTGACTGCCTTCAGAGCCATGATATCCTGTCAGACCCTTTTATTCACTTGAGGCCAATTTGGTGGTTGGACATGCTTTAGCACATACCACACACAATCTGCAAGAAGTGTAATTCCTAGACACAGAGAGACTTGTCTTAGAAAGTTTGCGAGATTCCGTTTCTATCCCTTGTGGTAAGATGTACTGTTTGGCTTTTGGGAAAGGTTCGCACAAATCTTAGTGTGATTTAGGCAAGAACAACTTGAACAGTAGTCACCTTTGCTAATCTCAATAGTTTCCCCCAAGAAATAGTAATTTTTTCATCTTTGCAAATTTTGGAGTTTCGTAGGGAGATTTGACCAGGGGTCTCTTAGAATGGAGTCCTCACAAGGTTTTCTGTTATAATACCCCTTTGCAAAGAGGTATCTTCTTTTTCAGGGCTTTGTCAAAATGGTTTCTTCATTTTAATTTTGTTTCTCTAGGAGGTTAGGAGGGTAAATGGATGCCTGCAGAGCAGGTGTTGGCAAACTCTGGGCCAGATCAGGCCTGTGAGGAAGAAGAATTTTTATACTTTTAAATAGTTGGAAAAAAAAGTTAAAAGGAGAACAATATTTGGTATTATATGAAATTCAGAATTCAGTGTCTAAACAACTTGTTATTGGAGCAGCCGTGCTCATTTGTATATGTGTTGTCCGTGGTTGCTCTTGCTATAATTGCAAAGTTGAGCTGTTGCAACAGAGACAGCACAGCCTGCCTTAGGTATTTGCTGTCTGGCCCTTTATAGAAAAAGTGTGCTGACCTCTACTCTAGGGAAGCAATTTAAAGATATACAGGAGTGATATGTTTAATATTTGATTTACTGCAATCTTCTTGTTTTAAAAAACAACATTATTGGGGTATAATTGACCTACAATAAATTGCACATATGTCAAGTATATAATTTGATGAATTTTGACATAGGTAAATACTCATAAAGCCATCACCACAATCAAGATAGTGAATGTACCCATTGTCCCCCAAGATATCCTGTGCCCCTTTGTAATCTCTTCTTGTTGCTTCTTCTTGTCCCATGTCATCCCCAGCAACCACTGATTAGCTTTCTGTCACTATAGATTAGTTTGCATTTTCTAGAGTTTTATGTAAATGGAATCTTTTTTATCTGGCCAATTTCACTCAGCAAAATTATTTTGAGATCTGTCCATGTTGTGTGTATCAATAGTTTATTCTTTTTTTATACTGAGTAGTATTTCATTGTAAGGCTATATCAATTTGTTCATTCATTTACCTCTTGGGAATTTTTTTTTTTTCTGTTTTTGATAATTGCAAATAAGTCTTCTATGAACATTTGTTTACAAGTCTTTGTATGGATATTTGCTTTCTTTTTTCTTGGGTAATTACTTAGGAGTGAATACTTAAGGTTGGTTTTGAGGCAGGTGTATATTTAACGTTTTAAGAAATCACCAAAATGGTTTCAAAGTGGTTGCACTATTTTACATTCCCACTAGAAGAGTTTGAGAGAGCACCAGTTTCTCCACAGTAGCCAACACTTGCTACCTATCCAACAGTGTCTGAACTATCTACTTTTATGAAATATGAGGAAGAGTTTTTAATAATCTGATTAATTTAGGCTGTGTAGAACACAAAAAAGTTGATTCCATTTTAACAATCAGCTTTGGGGTCTAAATGATCTAGATTTACTGAGAAAAGTGATTAAATATGAGGGTACTTTTAAAAAGTTCACAAAAAGATTTGTATTATCTTTTACTTCTATTTTTCCATGAACTTTGTGAAGTACCCTCGTACATGGAGTTATTACCACAGAATCCCTACCATTAATGTGGTTAAGATCTTGACTTTCTATACAGTGGGGAGCAGATGTCACTCTGTAATTTCAGTGTTCGTAAAGTGTGTTACTGTGCCACCCCTCACCCTATTCTGGGGTCAAGGTCCTCTGAGACACTGCAAGCTTCTAGCACATATACACATTAAAGGGGAGCTTGCCAAAAACAGATTTCTGGGCACCATTCCCAGTATTCTGATCCAGAGGACTAGGCTGGGGCCCAGGAACCTACATTTTTTTTTTTTTTTTAAAAAGATGACCGGTAAGGGGATCTTAACCCTTGACTTGGTGTTGTCAACACCATGCTCACCCAGTGAGCAAACCGGCCATCCCTATATGGGATCCGAACCTGTGGCCTTGGTGTTATCAGCACCGCACTCTCCCGAGTGAGCCACAGGCCGGCCCAAGGAACCTACATTTTTAAGAGACACTGTAGCTGAGTCTGTTGCACACACTTTGCTATACCTGAGTGTTATAATTTTGGGTCCCATTTGTTTGCAATGCAGTGGTATTAAGCATTATTTAAGTGTAAGATACTAGATTTCAAATGAGATCTTTGGTCAGTACCTTTGTCAATACAAGCTTCCTCATGGTTTATTTTCATTTTTTGCATGTTTGGATTGTTCATACATTATAACTAGACTGATTATTACCAGGTCAGCACCACGCCCACCCAGTGAGCAACCGGCCATCCCTATATGGGATCCGAACCTGTGGCCTTGGTGTTATCAGCACCGCACTCTCCCGAGTGAGCCACAGGCCGGCCCAAGGAACCTACATTTTTAAGAGACACTGTAGCTGAGTCTGTTGCACACACTTTGCTATACCTGAGTGTTATAATTTTGGGTCCCATTTGTTTGCAATGCAGTGGTATTAAGCATTATTTAAGTGTAAGATACTAGATTTCAAATGAGATCTTTGGTCAGTACCTTTGTCAATACAAGCTTCCTCATGGTTTATTTTCATTTTTTGCATGTTTGGATTGTTCATACATTATAACTAGACTGATTATTACCAGGATCATTTCAACCATTCCAACTGTCCCCCAACCCCCTGGCCTGCTTCCTGCCCCTGGGTCTTTTCTTTTTTTTAATAAGCCAAAGTCCGTGATAGAATCTATGGGACTAAAGTGATATCTTCAAGTTAAGGTAAAAAGTTTTTTTCTAGAGTAACCATTTATTTTAAAGAGTTTATGTACTGAGTGCATTTGCTTTAATAGTAGTCACTGTGAAACATGGGTTTGGACTGTTTGTACAGTGAAATTTAAATACAACATTGCTTTTCTCTTTCTAAAAATGTACTCTGCTTAGAACTATTTTGGTGGAAAACTATCTGCTCAAGGGAAAATGCCTTGGATTGAATATAATCATGAAAAAGTTTCTGGTACTGAATTCATAATTGACTTTCTGGAAGAGAAACTTGGAGTGAACTTAAACAAGCACCTTGGCCCTCATGAAAGAGCCGTCTCCAGAGCGGTCACCAAGATGGTGGAGGAGCACTTTTACTGGTGAGTCCCCTCTGGCACATCCCATCCTTTAGGAGTTAAGACCTAGCTTCTGTCTTGCTTTTCAGATATACCTCTCACCTTTTCAAAAATTTTCTACATGAACAGTTTGGGATGAGAAGTCTGATGGACTTAGGGGTCAAAGTTATGACTGGTTAAGTTTTGGGGTATCTCTAAAAGGGGTTGACACACTTTTTCTGTAGAGGACTAGGCAGTAAATATTTTAGGCTTTGTGGTGCATACGTCTGGGTCACAACTACTCGACTTTGCTGTTTTATCACCCTAGACAATATGCCAGTAAATAAGCCTGACTGTATTCCAGTGAAACTTTATTATGGACACTGAAACTTGAATTTCATTTAATAAACATATTCTTCTTTTGGTTTCTTCAACCATTTAAAAATGTAAAACCTTCATAGCTGTGGGCTGTAGCTTGCTGACCCTTGATTTAGACTGGGACTCACTGAGAGGAGGGAGATATTTCAATGGATTGGGCTCAGGGCCCTTTACCAGCACAAACTGCTGAATTAAAGTAATATTATGTCATCTACCCAGGGGGGGAAGGGAAGGCCAAGTCAAGACAATTCCTAGGTGAAATAAATTATGCAACCTTTGTGAGATTACTGTCAGTTTTCCTTAGATAATGAGACCTTCTGTGTTTTGGAAATAAAGCATGCTACTGCTTTCTAGAGTGTCTCTGCTCTGATCACCTCTCTCCTAGTTTCTATCCCCCACATCGGCAGCATCGCACAAGATGTGTTGACGTTGCCCCTTGTTCTGCTTGCTATGGCCTGAGCTGGTCGTGGCATGTTGTGAGTTAAGCAGCTATGGTTCTACTTGCTTTACAAATGCAAACACAAATCTTTTACACAAGTCATTTACAAATTAGACACATGGTCATTTTCTTTTTCTTTCATCCATTTTCTAGAATTTCTGCACCTTTCTCTACATCCCAATAAATGAGAGCAAGTTTCTTCCTGATTCCTGCAAACTTTATCTTCTTTTAAAGATTTAATTAAGAATTGCTAAGCCCGTTTTGGGAGCATTATTATTACTCCTGGGTCAGATGCTGGCCCAGTAGCTTTTACTAACACCCCCCCCCCCCGCCGCCCTCGGTATGGGGTTGACTGTAGAAGGTTCTTCCTCATCATCTACCTATTTCATCCATTCTGCTGTCTTTCTAAGTGGAAAACTTGCTGTTTCTATCTTTTGGGTTTTAAGTGACCCTTTATTTTTCTTTTCCTCTTTCTACTTTTGGTTCTTGCCCAGTTTATTTCAGGGCTGACCCACGTACCACCTCTGCACCCCACTCAGTACGGAAATGAAGGAGAGAGGAGGAAGGAGGGGACCAGGGAGAGGGTGGAGACAGGGGTACAGATCCGTGTGGATGTCATCAGACCCAGTGTTTCCCAATGAACCTGGGGCTTTTCCTTATTATACTAATGGAGATTGCTGAGGCTCCCCTCTCAAAGTGCAGGAGCCACAGTGGGGACCAAAATGCCTGACTGCGTATGGTGTGCTTAGCTTTTGGGAAGAGCCTGGTGGGACAGAGCCCATTTCACTTGCTTGCCAGGCTCCAGTCCCAGCTTTGCAGCGATAGAGAGAAGTTAAGGACCCACACGGGGCCACCCCAACCCTCCTGCTTTCCCTTGATGCTGCCCTCCCTCCAAAGCGCCACCTCCTTTGATTGATGAGCTCATTGATGTGGGGAGCTATCACGTTGTCAGCTGCTGGAGAAGCAGAAAGCCATACGTTTCAGTTGGTACTCTGGCTACAGCTCTTTGATTTTTATAGAGCTCTGGAATATATATATTCCTGTTAGAAAGTTTTTGATCCAGCAAAATTTCCAACTACCACCCATCACTGCTTCTTGCCTTGTGCGTGCAGGTCCTTTTATAGAGCTTTACTTCCTGGTAGAAGTTCATCCCATGCCCTGTCCTCCCCATCTCTCCCTTCACCAGCCCAGAACTAATACTTGATGGGGGGTTGGGGGGAGTGAACGTGGGGAGGGACGTTGTTGGTGAGGAGTGGGAGGAAGTATTGGGAGGTGGTTCCTGATAGGGAAGAATTTTAATTTTATGGACCATAAACTCCCAAGTGTTTGGGGATTTGGTTGCATCATATGTAGGCTCTTCTAAGAGTAATGGTATTTCTCTAATTCATTTTTTGTAAATTAGAAAAATACTTGTTTGGTCTAGCTGTTATTTCTTACTTGTGTCTACTCAAGGGTTAATTTGAGGAAGAAATAGTGAAGGTGGGAGGAAAGGTCTTGATTGAGATGCAGATACCCAGTGAACTTTCAAAATAACACTCCTAATTCCCCCAGTTCCCTTTAGACCCTAGTAGCAGAAGGAAAAACAAATCTTTCTGTGTCTTAAGGTTCCTAAGCCCTTAACCAACCTCTTGCTTTAGAGGAGACCCTGAAGAGACTATCTCAAGAGCTCTAAATCGCAATGGAGAAAAGACCGTCCTCTCCTCCATGGGAAGAAAATGCCTCGGCAGAGAATCTTCTAACACTCTTCCCCCAGGCTCCCATCCTCCTTTCCCTCTTCTGGTCCCACAGGCCACACACAAAATGTGCGCCTGTGGGAACCGGCATAAGGATCTGACCACAGTATGTAGGAAGATATTACAAGTGTGAGCTTTCCTTTAGATCTTGTTAAATTCTAACAGTCCATGAGCTCCTAGATTGTGTCTGTACTTATAGAGGTGGAAGAGGAAATTACATAAACCTACCGTGTTTGACTCAATTAGATTATCTGAAGCTTTCAGATGTTTATTTGAGCCTGAAACCTTAAAAATACTCCACTTCCAGTATGATTTTCTGAAAAGCAAAGGTAATGGAAAGTTCTTCTTATTGGGTAACATCACTTAATTCTGAAGCTGTGTTTTAGTTCTGTTCAAATAAGCCTACTCAGCTATGAAGAGGCTTTTCTTCCACTTGAAATCTATACAGTTACGTCCCACTCACATTCTAAAAGCTATTATTGAAGATGAAGAAGACAGTTTTTTCTCATCCCCTTTGTTTTACTGAGTGCTTAAGTTAGATCCAATGCAGGGAAACTGGCATAAAGGGAAGTCTGAGAGACACCGGGTGAAATTGCTGGAGTGAAATTGATTTTTGATAACAGACACTATAGCTTCTTCACTGTGACATTCTGCCCTCTTGTGGACATCAGTGAATGTCTTATCGAGTCTTCCAACTCCATAGGGAAGCGTAAGGGGTTGTCAGACCATCTAGTCCTCTAACATTTTCACCCACTGAAATATAGTCATTACAACAGTATATTCAAATTTGCTTTTAGGTCGGCCATAATTTTAAAATTTCGAGTTTGGCTTTTAGTGTAGTTTCAGTGAATGTGAGAAATGGGATACTTTCCTAGAGTAACTTACTCAAGATCTTTTCTAAAAGCTGGGAAACTCTCCCTGATTGCAACTCGATTGATGTGTTCCCTTTGTCCTTTTCTCTCCCAAGTTTTAGATATAGTGAGGGCTCCTCTTTGGAGGGGTTGATCTAATGCTTGTGAAATTTAGTGAAATTACAGAAGCATGTTATATGCTCCTGCACCCTCAAGTGAACTTTCAGGGTACAAGCAAAAGACAGCAAGGATGTAGCGCGACACAGAGAAAGGCATCGTCCTGATATGGAAGTCCATATGCTGACAGTCATCAGACACTAGTTTGCCAGGGTTTGCAGTTTTCCCCATATTAGTATTCATTTCTCCTGGGGGCCAGGTGTCATGTTAGGTTATAATGAGAGAGAACTTCATTGAAACATCAGGGGCTGGCTTTTCTTTGCCTTTTCCGATCTCCTTTAAAAATGTTTCAGCAGGTTTTATTCTTCTGTTCTGACTAAGATAATCTTTTAAAAAAACCTCTTTGACCCCATTTTTGCAGGAGATCAGATAAATCAGTTGTGATATGGAAAACAAGTCTCTCAACTTCCTGAAATAGATTTAAATGGTAAATTACTTTAATTGCTTAGCCTAGTCTCCTTTCCAAATTGGTCCTCCCATCCTCTCCAATTAATAATTCATGATTCCTTGGGCAGTGGGACTCTTCCCAGTGGAGGGTGAAGAGGCGTGGATCCCAGAAGAGAAAGTGGCAGCCCCTCCTTCCCCCACAGGCACGTCTCTCTCTCTCTCTATTTTTCTATTTAAGTATGTGTCATCCCTTAGAAACACTACTAAGCAGTAGCTGGCTCAAAAGCAAAGCCTTTTTTTAATTCAATCAATAATTCATTCTTTCAGCAAGCTTAATGAATGACGATTAGTGGCCAGGCACCGTGTCCCTGTGCATAGGCTGGAGAGAGACATCAAGCCTTCATAATGGTCAGTGTTGGGGGAGACTTTGAGGAACTGACGAAAGGCAGCCAGCACCTGCCTCAGGGATGAGGGAAGGCTTCCCAGAGGAGATGTTGTCACAACAGAGTCTAGGAACAATCGGACTGGCAGGTGAAGGGGCTGGTGGTAGGGGAAGGTACCTGCAGAAGAAGAAGCACCTGCAAAAATTTAGAGGCAAGAAAGAGGCATTTGAAGAGTATCTCAGTCTGTTTGGGCTGCCATAGCAAAATAGCACAGACTGGGTGGCTCATAAAGAATGGAAGTTTATTTCTCACAGTTCTGGAGGCTGGAAGTCCAAGATAAGCACCAGCAGACTGGGTGACTGGTGAGGGCTCTCTTCCTGGTTCATAGACAGCCGTCTTCTCGCTGCATCCTCCCACGGTGGAAGGGGTGAAGGAGCTAGCTGGGTCTCTTTTCTAAGGGTGCTAATCCTATTCATGAGAGCTCACCTCCCAAACACCCCACCTCCTAATACCATCACACTGGGGATTAGGTTTCAAAATATGAATTTTGGGAGGACGTGAACATCCGGTCTATAGCAGAGTGGTGCATGTAGTTCTGTATGCTGGTGCATGGGGTGCATGGGAGGCAGTGCTGGCAGATGGGCTGGAGAAGGTGAGACCGTGTGGAGAGGGGCTGGTGCACTGTGCTGAGGAGCTGCAGGGGTTAATGATGACCCTGAGAAGCAGTGTGGCATGGTTCGATTTGTATTTTAGCTTCCTTGGGGAAAATGGGTTTCTGAAGGATCTTGAGGGGATGTCAGGAGCCCTGCTAGGAGGCCATTGTCCTCATAGTTGAGTAACGGTGAAGGGCTGAACTACAGTGTTAATGGAGTTGGAGAAAAGGGCACATTCACAGGGTGACTGGCTGGCAGGAGTGAGGGAGAGGGGCAGTGAAGAAAAACTCCTGGGATTCGGGCTTGGATGAGGAGAAGCAGGTTTAAGGGAGCAATGAGGATGAGTCCAGTTTTGGAAATGTTGGTTTGCAGCTCCTGGGGATCCTCCACATGGGATCTGTGGATCTCAGGACAGAGGTCTGGGCTGGATATGGATTTGGGAGTCATCAGTTTGAAATCATGGGTGTGAATTAAATCACCCATAGTGTGGAGTGAGAAGATAGGAGGAATGGAAATCGAAATCTTGGGAACATGTAAGGGGTGGGAGGAAAAGCAGTAGAGGCATAAGCTGAGGGAGAGTTCCAGGAAAGAAGCCAATAGTGTCAGGGGCGGCAGAAAGATGAGGAGAGCTAAGTACAGAAAGACAGTTTATGTGGCCGGTGCAGCAAGGAGGTGACAGGTGACTTGGACAAGAGTGATTTTGGTAGAGTGGTGGGAGCGGAAGCCCCCACTGAGGAATCTTGGTTGTGACAGGAGGTGGATTCTTGGTTGTAAAGATATGGAAGCCTGTATGATGCGATGTCTTCTGCCTGTAGTAATTGGCTTAGGAATTTATGAGCCACTTAGTTTTGGCATTTAAAGGTTATACACATGTCACTGGACTGGACCCTTCAAGCCTGGCCCTCATTTGTTTCTCTTCCCTGACCCTGGTTTATAATATTGGGCACAGGGAGCAGAAAAGAGAAGAGAAATCAACAGCAGGGCAGGAAGGAGGAGAGGGAAGACCAGACAATTTGTGAGGTTACTTCTGGCTGCACAATTCTAGAAGAGCCCGGTGTTCCTTCTTCTATGCCCGAGGCTCGACTTGCTACTGCAGGCACAGAAACTTACGCCGGTGCACTGATGGGGTCTCCTCCCTGCCCAGCTGCATAGTCTAGAACAACTGCCTCTCACACCCCTACCTGCTGCTCCTAAAACTCTCTACCAATTGCTACTTCTTCATCTCCTGCACATGCCCTTATTTCCTGCTCTACAGAGGAAATTGAAGTCACCAGGCTGGATATCTGAACCCCCCTTGCAACAGCCTCCTTCTCTCCATCTCAGGGAGCGGGATGTCCCTACTTCTCTCCTAGATGGCTGTGTTAGCGTGGTCTCCTCACCCTAGAAACTCCCTCAGATGACCTCAGCTCCTCTGACAACTTTAAAACTCTCACCAGCCTGCCCCTGCCCACCAGTTCTCTGTCTTGAGTCTAAATTTATCTCTAGACATCTTCACTCGGTGGTTCCAAGGGACCTGTAAATGTGACAGGTTAACTCATCCTTAATTGTCCAAATCTGTTTCACCTTGTGTAATTCAGTAATGGTTAATGGTGTTATCATCCACTCAAACCATCAGCCTAGGAGAAAATACCTAATTTCTCCTTGTACATAATCCTTTCCACCCGCTGGTCCGTAGACTCTTTTTCTTCTGCCCCAGTGTTTCTCCTGTGCGTTCCCTACACAGCATCTGCTCTGCCATTGCCGTAGTCGGGGCATTGTTTCCTGCCTGGTCTTGCCATAGTTTTGTAACCAGCCTTCCTACCAGCAGTTTCTGCACTTTTCAGACCTTCCTTTACATTGCCCCAAGTCTGATTATGTTTCTAGTCTGCTTAAACCTTCCTGTGGTTAAGCTTTGCTTGGGGAAGAGAGTTCGGCTGCCTTTGCATCAGGCCTGTTCTGATCCATTGTCGCCCACCTGTCCAGCCTCCTCTCTTGCCAGCTTGCTCGCTGTGTCCTTGCCCCACCCACACTGCTGAGGTTCTGGCAGTTCTTCATGCAGCCAGGGCTCTTCGCGCTCATCCTTCTCCCTCTGCTCTGCCTAGTGAGCCACTCATCCTTCAGTTTGCTTATGATAAAAGCTGTGTCGTTTCTCTACAAAGATTTTTTTTCTCTCTTCATATCAACCTGCCAGCTTATAGCCACGCATTTCTCACTTTTGCGCTTTAGATGCTTACTGGATGCTATTATTACTTGGTCCTGCTCAACTCAGGATAATTTGGTTTTATCCTCAGACGTTGACTTCCAAAATAATCAAAGGTTGTGTAACCTTTCTGATGTGAATTTAGATCTACTATAATTAGAATCAAAGTGCTGAATTATACTAATGGGACGTGAAAATTGCTGCCTTAATTACTACAGGTGTAAAAAGAAGAGCAAGTAGCAAAGCATTTAGTTTCCATGTTTATATAGAATCACTAGAATAAATGTGAGATAGTTTATATCAAAAGATTCATTGAATGCTCTGACTGTATGCATTAATTAGTCACCATTGTGATGTACTTTTTCCTATTTTCAGCAAAATTCATCTCTTGACTCCTCGATACTTTATTTTGAGATATTTACAAAAAAGAGGTACACAAAACTTTCTAACAAGATTTGTGGGCATTCTTTTAAAAAGGTAATAAAGAAGAGTTATGGTTGCAGTACAGAGAGTGTGTTGAAACTGGTTGTAGGACTTTTCAGTAAAAATCAGGACTGTTTCAAAAACTTTAGAGAAATCTGTTTCTTTCTTATTTTTGTTTTTTAGAGGGGAGGACCCTAAAGTAACAGAACTACATACAACAATCAAAATTTCAGGGCCTTTTTTTGCCTTTGTTTTTTGTCTTGAGGTGAAAAATACGAGTAGCATTTCATTGTAGCTACAATTTACTATCATTCCTTGTTACTCTTCTGATTTTTACTCTTTTGGTTTTTTTTTTTTTTTTTTTTACTATTCCATCAACCAGAACTAGGATGGAGATGATCACCAGTGCATCTTTTATTGTTCATTATGAGGAAAAACTAAAATATTTCATGCCTGTACTCCCACAGCTACATTGTCCCCAGTCTTTAGTGGGAAGCCCTTTTAATTTGTATCTACTAACATTATTAGCCATAAAAGCATTCTTGCAATTGCGCAGGTTTGGAGAACAAAATTAGTGAAGGCCTGAGTATAGCAGCCAACTCTCTGTGCATATTATATAGGAGCACCCATAAGGTTGTTTGTCACAAGCACTGCCCAGATGGGAAAAATGATTCTGATTCAGCCAAGTTCCTTTGATATTTGTATTCACTTTCAAGTCCTTGAGAACAACTCGAGGTAGACAGTTGATTTCCTAGAGAGTGAATCATTTTCATAATATTTAAAATTGATATAATTCATAATAAACATGTACAGATGTACCTACTCCTTAATCCTTTGTCAAAAAGGCAAAAAACTTTCTGTTTAAAACAAACAAACAAACAAACCGAAAAACCACAAAATGCGTACACAGAGTGTAACAACAGAAACGTGCAGCTTAATTAATTAACACAAAGCACATACCTGTGGACCCATCATTTTGCTCAGGAAAGAGAACGGTGCCAGCTCGCCAGTCACCACCGCCTCCTGCTGTGTGCCCCATAGGTACTATCCTGACTGAAAGATGTTTAAAGTGGGTTCCTGCTTGTTTTCTGCAGGTTGCATTAGAGAAAGCAGAAGCCTGGCATGGGGAGGGGGAGCAGGGAGGGCTCTGAGGGTGGGTTCCAGGAGAGCTTTGGTGGAATTGTGACACATGGCTTCATTATCTGCTTTTTTTACCATTTCCCCTCACAGGCCCTTAAGTGTAGGCATCGACCTGAGCCTGTTGTAGTATCTGCCACGCAGCTTGCTCTGTGTAGAAGCTGCGATTATTCAGGCCCTCTAGAGTGTACTAAATTCTGAACGACTCATTCCAAAGTGACTCTGTGGAGCTGGTTTATGTCTGATGCGCAGCAGTAACTTGTTTCCACGCAATTCCAGGACGTTAGCTTATTGCCAGTGGGTGGACAATCTCAATGAGACCCGGAAGATGCTCTCTCTTAGTGGTGGTGGTCCCTTCAGTAACCTGCTGAGGTGGGTCGTGTGCCACATAACGAAAGGAATTGTGAAACGCGAGATGCACGGCCACGGCATTGGCCGCTTCTCAGAGGAAGAGATTTACATGCTGATGGAGAAGGACATGCGGTCTTTAGCGGGGCTTTTGGGTAATGTACCATGCCTTCTATTCTACATTTTGTATTCTTATTTTTGCATGATTAGTAAAGCACTGCTGGTTTACTAATTTAAAGTTTTATGTTGGTTGGTTTCTTTGCTTCCGCGTGTAGGTTGCAGTCCCACCGCTTAACCAAATCCCATAGTTTTCAGTAGCATGTGTCTTTCTTAATCACAGGTGCGTGACTGTCATTAGTTTGGCAAGGTCCCATGTGAGGAGCATGATTTGGTATCACTACCTGGTTATAAGTGATGCTGGCGTTTCTGAACGTGATGTGAGAAAAGGGTGATTTTTTTTTTTTTTTTTTTAAAAGATGACCGGTAAGGGGATCTTAACCCTTGACTTGGTGTTGTCAGCACCACGCTCAGCAAGTGAGCGAACCGGCCATCCCTATGTGGGATCCGAACCCGGGGCCTTGGTGCTACCAGCACTGCACTCTACCGAGTGAGCCACGGGCCGGCCCAAAAAGGGTGATTTTGAGCAAGGACGCTCTTCTATTTATGAACAGGTCAGGGTTAAAAGGCTGCTTAGGAACACATGTTCAGAGGGTCTGGCTGTGTACCTGCTGACATCGAGCTAAGTCTGCAAGGCGTGCTGACAGCGCTGGTTCCGACCCACTCTGTGTGCGTGTGCAACACTGGCCGTTTTCCCACCCCTTTCGTTTCTGTTTGCAGTCTTGGTCTTCTTCTTACGAGCACATTTAACTCTGATTTTGTATTAATTACACACAATGGGTTTAATTGGGCTTGGGAAACCCCTCAAAGAGAAGCACAGAGTGGTGCATGTCCATGGCTACTGGGGGTGGCTGGGAGTGGGATCACGCAGTCTCGCACCTGGCTGGCTGCAGGTGGCCTGGCTGATGTGGTTCATAACAATGATGATTCATAAACAGATGATTTGAATTCAGGACCTTCTGTGTATGAAATAATGGCTTCTCCTGGGGGACAAGGAAGGTACAGGGAGCCAAGTCCTCTACGTGACTAGGTTGTAAGTGCTAGTCCTTTGGGGACTGCTGAGTTTTGCCTTCAGAAGGTGGGTTTTCACTGGCCCTCCCTCAGTGGCAGTAATTTCCAGATTCACCCTGACCCCCATTCTGGAGCATATTAGGTAGCTCACCTCCTCTAGGAAGTGGGGTTTGGAATTTTTTTTGTTGAAAGCCACCTGGTACTCTAGGCACTAGAGGCTATGCTGGGTATAACATTTCCTTTGCAGAGTGACCCACTTGGACTGGCTTCTTCCTGCTCCACACTCCAGACACCTGTAGACCTGGAGGCCTCCCCTGAACCCCAGCCTGCAGGGGCAAATTCTGGCTCCAGATCCAGCTCTTGGCTAACTTTGTTATGGGGGTTATGTTCTGTGGGAGGTTTGGTGCTTTCTGGACTTCTTCGAAAGCCTGTCTGGTTTGAAGAATTGATGCTGTCTAGACCACTGTGACCAGGTGGACCCGCTTGATGCACATATGAGTGGAATTAGCTTCAAGTTTGCCTCATTCCTTTGGAAACTTAATAGTGGACTCCTGGCTTCCAAAACTAGACTGCAGCTGTGTCATTTCCTCCTTGGCAGTGGCTGTATCTGTCCCTGGCTTGCCCCACTTCCTCGCTAGCTCGTGCTGTTGGAAGCCCCAGTGTAGGAGAAGTTGAGTTCCCAGAGTTATGACAGAGATTATGTCAATCAATGCTGCTCATCTTTAACAGTTTGAGAGTGTTGGTTTCTTAACCAGAGAGGGGTGGTTAATCATCACCTTTGTAGGACGTTTCTGGTTGACAGAACCAGGGAGCAGGTTGAGAACAATAGTAGTAATAAGCGACAATGACTCTCTAGAGTTTCATGACTTAGACAATGCTTTGCCCCCAGTTTTCAGGAGAGGGAGGGGAATGAACTGCTGAGAGCTAGACAGGATACCTGGCAAGTATTCAAAACAGCGTCAAAGTCTAGATGCTTCTTTGTGAGGAGAAGGTAAGTGGGCTCCTTGGAAAGCTGGAGTTAGCTGGAGTTATATTCTGTGTGGAGGCCCCAGGAGCAGTCTAGTTTTGAACTCTGTGATAGGAGAAGCACTTCTTCTGTATTTGGGGAGGGAGAGGCTCTTTGGCTGAGCATCATAGTTTTTCTTACTAAATGAGGCAGAAAGCATTCCCCACATCCTGCCATCCCCATGGATATGGCTTACTTCTAATGCCCAAATGCCTAAGAGACTCAAAATTTAAAATTAATCTTCATTGAAAAAGCTCAAGATTTGGAGAAATTGTCCAGGGATGTATTTGACTCAACAGGGTAAATTAGTTATTGATGTTTCAGTTCAGTTGACTTCAATGATTTGAACACCTGTGTGCCAGGAGTCGGGGAATACAAAGATGAGTTAGAGATGGTCCCCTCTCTCAGGTAGCTGTAGTCCAGTGGGGGTGATGAACCTCTGAACCAGGAGTGGGCAAATTACTGCCAATCCCTGGTGGCCTGTTTTTGTATGGTCTGTGAGCTCGTAGTGGTTTTCATGTTATTAAAATGTAAAGAAAAAAATTCAGCAAAGATGTGCAGATGTGGCCGGGAAAGCCTAAAATATTGACCACCTGCCCTTTCATAGAGGAAGGTGGCTGATCCCTGCTGCAAACAAGTAGCTGCACACAGTAGGGCTGTGGCAGGTTCCATGACAGAGTCTATACTTGGGGCTCTTGGGGACACAGCAGAACCAGGTGTGAGATGGCAGGGAGGACTGGGGAGGGCTATGGAGCAGGTGGCAATTGAGTTGTCCTGATGAAGAAAGTGAGGAAGGACTTTCCAGGCAAATCATGAAAAAAGGAATCACAAGTGAGTGGCATTTGGGAATCATGGTTGCAGTGAAGATTATAAGCTAATTTGGGGCCATATTCTAAAGGGCAATGATTACCATACTAAGAGATGTGGATGTTTCCATACAGAAAGCATGGTGGTGTTGCAGATTTCTGAGCATAAGAGAGTAGTTGTATTTGCGATTTAGAAAAGTGGCTCCTTTGGCATCCTGGGGGATGGGTTGGGCCAGGGGTGGAAGTGGTAAAGAGAGACTGAAGACAGGCAGTGAATATCAATGGATGTAGTTTTTAAAAGTTTGATTTACTTCAAACTAAAATAGAAAATGAAATCCAAACTAAATAAAAAATTAGTTAAGTGAAATTGATTTTTATTTTGGTGAATTAAAAAACCCCCACAGCCAAACCAAGTGGAATTCGAATAGAAAATGTGGTTTTATGATATAAAATACAATAAGGATATTTATTATGAATAGCCGGGAGGAAAGTAGTCATAGTTGTCTTAATTCTAAGAAGGCATTTGATGTTGAAATTCGATGTATCCATTCCTGATAAGAACTCTTACTAAAATAGGACTCAAAGATCAGTTACTTAACATGATGAAAGGGTATTAAGCCAACAGCCAGTGTCATACTTAATGTTGAGTCACCAAGGGCATCACCAATGAAATAAAATACAAGACACAGGGGCCTGCTATCACAATTGTTTAATGTAGTTTTGGGAGGGGCTTGACAGTACAGTTGGACAACATGAAAAAAGATATCTTTATATTGGAAAGGAGGAGACAACATTGTTATGTAAAGAAATCAAGAGATTATGTAGCTGAAATAATGGAGAATCAACTGAAGTTATTACAGTTAATGGAGAGTTTGGTAAGCTTCCAAAAGGTACAGAGTTAACATGTAAACGTCTGTACTTTCTTGAGTATCCCAAATAATCAGTTAGAAAATATAATTTTAAAAGTACCATTCATGATAGCAATAAAAATTAAAAATATTAGAAGTATGATTTGTAAAAAATATTCAGGACCAACATAAATAAAATTAAACAATCCTAATAAGAGATAGAAAGTTTTTTTAGAAAATGGAGAGGTATATCTCCTTTCATTCATTAATTTGAGAGTGACGACTCTAGATCCAGAGTGAAACCCCAGCTCTAATACGGTGGGCAAGTTTCTTATCTGCTCTGGGCCTCAGTTTCCTTGTGTGAAATGGGAAAATAATGGTGAGAAGAAAAGTAACACATGTGAAGTGCTCAGAATAGTGCTTGGCATGTAGTAAGCAATCAGTGACAAGCAAATGTGTAATGCAGCTGTGCCCGGTGTCGGGAAGGGGAGGTTCATGGCGCTGTGAGGGCTGATGATGGGAGGGTCTGACAGTAGTCAGTGCTAGTCCCTGTTTACTCCACGTGTTCTTATGTCCTCCTTGGGGAAGGTTTGTGTGTTCGAAGCAGAGATACCCCGTGTAGTAAATACCTGATTTTCACCACATGCCAGAAGTACATCTTTGTCTATTTCCATACCCCTCCCCAAAGAGGTGGGAGTCAATAAAGAGCATGGGAGACATAAAAATTAGGAACAAGAAGGTTAGGTTTTTGGGAGGCAGGAAGCCCAGTGGCCAGCATGCTGGTGTGGAGTCCTGGAGTTGGATTCTGTGGGTTTATATTCTGGGCTTCACCACTTCCCAGCTCTGTGATTTCACAAAAATAACTTGAGTTATTTCATCTGCCAAAGGAGGTCAGAACAGTACCTACACCATAAAGTATGAGGACTAAATGAAATACTTTATGTTAAGTACTTTATAAGAAGAGTTAAATAAAAGCTACAGATTTTGTATGTAGCTTTTACATACCACTTCATTAGGAACAGTGTTTCCTGGGAAAAATGTTTTTGTAACAAAACCCTTTTTTTTCTGATTTTTACATTTATTAGCTCATGGTAGAAATTTGGGAAGGTTCAGGAAAGCACAAAGAAGGAAAATAGGTCACTACAATCTTATAACCTTTTGCTAATCACAGTTACCATTTTGGTGTATATCTTTCCAATATTTTTATCATAATATTGAATCATGTATATATATATATATATATATATATGTATTTGTACACACCACACACACATACACACATGTATTCCATTTCTTCTATTTTCTTCTATTATTATATATTCTATATCATGTGATTCTATGTGCCTGGTATCTCACTTGGTGCCAGG